AAGCCCGCAGCCGCGGGGAAGGCAAGCCGAGACCGTCGCTGCGCACGCGAGGATCGGCCGGGCCTTTGAGACGAGTTCGCCTTAGCGCGCCCGTGATTGCTGCGCGGTGCAGAACAGCGAAGTCCCGGCTCCGGGGCTGGTTAATCAGGGCCGAGAGCGCCGCGCGCTGCGCCCCAACCAGAAACGCGCCCGAGGCTAGAAGAGCCGCACGCTTTTAGACGGGGGGCGGGCGGGGAGGGGATCAATCTTCGCGACCGTGCGTGGCTCTCCCAGGGGGCCTCTGCGGATCATAAAATATTCTTAATCGTAAGTTGCCAGCTAAGTAAAAGGATGGTTGCAATAAACATTTTCCCTAATCAAATTTGCATTTACTGTCAGAAAAGAAAATGCTAGAGACTGCTTGTTTTGAAGCAGAAATCTGCTGTTTTAAAAACGACACAGGTTTTTCACATAAAAAGACCCATTAAAACAGCTTACAAAATGTGACTTAACTATCCTTTTGCCATTTCTACGTCCTATCTATTCACACCTTTTGTTTTGGTGGACAGGAAAACAAAAGTTGCCCAAAAGGGTTCTCAGTGAAAAAAAAAGAGACAAATTCTGCCGCCTTCTACGGTTAAGAATCATACTGAGCGAACAGCAGGAAGAAAAAAGTTCTCGCCCATTCAGAGGCTGGAACTGTACAGCGGGTGGCCAATCCAGTACGGCTGCGTGCGTTTTCATTTCCCACGTTAACGTCCAGCACCATCAGTTCTCTCCTCCAAGAAAAGACAATCTCTTTCCCTAGACTTGTTTCTCTATTAAATATAGATTTCTCTTTCCAAAAAAGAAAATAATTGGCTCTCTTTGTAAGGCTTCCGCAAGGCATGGAAAAGATGAAGTGCTGGACTGAGCTGGACCTGAGGCGTTCAGCGGATGGGCCGGTAAGGAAATGCCACGCCTGGCATGAACGCCTGCACAGGATGAGCCGGGAGAGCCGGGTGAGCTGCGTGGGCAGGGTACCCCAGGGGAGGGGTATGGATGGGAGGATAAAACCCTGGGGGCAGAGCAGCATGGGCTGGCGGTTGGACCGGACCTGAAATCACCAGCTGGAGCAAGCTGCAGAGGAAGAAGAGAGACGGCCTCAGTGGTGGACTGGCTGGGACAGACCCTGCCTTCTACCCTTTGGTTTAAGTGCGGCGTGCTTCCTTACTTGTTATGCGGCAGCCCAGAACACACCGTCCTTAGATTCTCTGAAAGCAAAGCACAGAATGAATGAGAACAAAGAACCACAGGGAGAAAAAACAAAGCAGTCCATCCAAGACCACCCCAAAGGACTCAAACGGCTACAGGCGCATAAGAGAAGTCAGAAGCAGGAAGGAGTAGATGCGCAACTAGAGAAGCCCCAGAATTACACAACTGGGAGAAGAGAGGTCAATGCCGTACAGACCCACAAAGGTAGACTGGGGTGGAGCCGCCCTGTCACATCTTGTCCGAAGGCTGACCGTCAGCCCCAAAAACTGCCGGCTCCCCACCAGCCTGGATCTGGGAAATGCTTCCTGTTCTACAGCCACTTAGAGGGAAGATGAGAGATGCCACATAGGGGCCAATGCCCAAGCAGCACTCCAAAAACAGGTTGGCCCACCTTGGTCTCCAGTGGCTTGCCACGCACTGCTGCCCAGCCTGACCTCAGCAGCTGGTTCACGTCTGTTCGTGCTCTTTCCTCTGCCCAAAGGCGGGGACTTGGGCTGGGCATTTGCGGGAAATACCTACCTCTGGTCCAAAGCAACACTCCAGAGGCCATGGCCACTTGCAAGACCTGGGCCAGCCGGTCCAGAGCCAGCTCAATCTCTTTGGACGCGTGCAGCGGGTTCAGCCTGTCAGAGAGAAGGCGCACGTCCTCCACAAGGGAGGCCATTTGCTCCCCGGTCACCAGCCCCAGGCGTCCGTACAGATTCTTCTCCGTCAAGTGCCCCTGGAGCAGCATCAGCACCTGGAGGACGCTGAGGTGCAGCCTGGAGTACAGCAGCTGGCAGTCCCTGTCACAGCTGCCCAAGGAGTCACCGGCCACTTTCCCACTGAGGGCGCCACTGGGGGGCGGGGGCTTCCGTCTCTTGTAAGCCAGCGGGGCCTTCACGCACCAGCAGATCAGGCCACAGAGCGGCGTGAGCTCCAGAAAGCCGATGGGCAGGCTTGTGGCAATCGGCGTGTTCAGAAAGGTGATCAGGATCAGCCGAGGGTCCTCGAAGATCCAGGAGACAACCATCTCCAGCAAGTCGGGGGAAGGGATGAGGTCGTCTGGAAAAGAACGGTAAGACATTGGCGGGGAGGTGGCTGACCAGCATTTGGGCTGGCTAACATACGTCGGGGCTCTCTTAGGTGGGTGGAAAGGCAGATGCCCTAGAGCTGGGGCTCCAGCCTCCCCTTACTTCCAAATGCCATCTCTGCCTTTGCCACAGCCTCTTTCGACAACGGTCACGTTTATTTCACTACAATTGGTGAGAATCTCCATGTCCTGTTTCTCTGTGAAACACCCAAGGCAGCTAATAATGCACGGAGGTTAATTAAGACTGAACAACCGTGTCAGTGAAACAAAAGCAGCGTGCAGCTTAAGCAGAAGCGCTCTTACAAGTGACCTTCCATGCGCCGAAAGAGCAGTCTACACAGCCACCACAAACTGAAGGCAACCGGGGAGCGCGTGCACGCACACGTACACAAGTTGCGCATATCAGGATTCCGGAAGGCGCCCCCGACCCTGCCTGGGATGATTCCAGCTTTGGTACGCACAGCGGCCGGGTTCACACGTTACAACAAGCTGGGACTCTTAAGGCAACGTCCATGTCACGCGTACGGGATGTCTGAACGTGGGTCTCTCCTCAAAGGGGTGGCAGAGGGGTACCTGAGGACAGGTCGTACAGCATGGTGATGGCGGTGATGAACTGGCAGCAGAAACGAGGGCTGGCGCTGAAGATGTGCTGGAGGGTCTGGACGGAGCCGGGCACCAGGCTGCAGTAGTCGTCCACCAGGGCCTGGGCCAGCCTCACGCAGTAGACGGCCGGGGTGCACTGGAAGGGAGGGGCCGGGGTCAGGGTCAG